ATTACTTTTGAAAATAGAAAATAGAAAACTTTTGAAGGTATTTAGCGTTATGTAGTCAATACATATTGATTAAAAAAATATGCCGAATAACATATGGGCCTTGTAAAAACTAACTCAATCCAACTCAGTTATCAACACACATGAGTTATCTAAAACTTTCTTAATATTTTTAAAATTCATTTTGTACGTCTGATATTAAAAAGCTATTACAAACCTTTATAGGTTTTTCAAACTGACTGGTAATAAAAAAATTTTCTATACTATTGCTTTGCTATATTTAGTTAAATCCTTTCAAATTAATAATAATGTTATAAAACTTTTATTTTTTGAACAATCAGAGCTTTAAAGTTACAGTGTCAATTACAACATAAAATTTTTTCACTGTCTAGGTTAAGCAATGTTATAAAAATGCTGAAATAAAGATTGTTTAACTTCTACATTTTAGGAGTTTTATGGCTGCTTATATGAAGTTATAAACTTTTAAAATTAGCTTTTTTTTAATTAAATCTAAGTTATGGAAAACTTTTTGATACGTTTAATAGAAGAGAATTTCTAGGTAACCAAACCCCTCCTCTAGAAAGCAAAATTGTAACTCAATGTAAATAGTGAGTTTTTCGTGGTTTTATAAATATTCATTTTTTTAAACATATCTATTTTCAAGATTTTTTTAATAAAAAATCAAACGATCCTAAACAATCGACAATAAAATATATTTATTTGATTTTATAGCTTATCATTTTAATATAATTCCTAATTGAGATTTATTTACGTAGTTTGGCTTAGTTTGTACAAAGTTTGTACAAACTAAGAATCACAAGAATTTATTGTATTCCTGTTTCAAAATTTATTACAATTGTGTATTTTGTGTAATGATTTAAACACTATTTTAATGGTTTTTTATTACGAACCATTAATATAAAAAGGGGTAGACGTTGGCGGGTAATTTGATAAAAGTTTCAGCCTATAGTTATTATTCGAAAAAAACTGTATTTTAACATCACCATACTTGTTAACAAAAACATTATAATCTTATAAATTAATGCTAAAATCCAAATAGACAATCAAAAAGACCGCTTCATACTATATTGTGCATTAGATGGCGGCGCTGAGGCAAGCGCTATTGCTCTTGATATGTTTATGGCTTTCTACAAAGTTTGGCATGCCGGTCTTCTCCATAAATTTGTTTTATATGGTGTATCTAGGAAAGTTGTTAAGGTTATAAGTTGTTAAATCATCCTCGATGGTCAACACTCTCCCTTATTTCTAGTAATCTCTGGGGTACCTCAAGGTTTTTTTCAAAAAATTGGAGCTACTTTTTCCAATTCTTCTTAGAAAAACTGCGTATTTGGTTTATGAGGCTTTAACCATTAAAGATAAGCAATATGCAATGAAAGTTGAGGAATTGATGCTAGAACCGTTCTTATTCGATGTTTACAGTGCATATGAGCTTTTCATAAAACAGAATTTAAATGACAGAAGGGAATCGATATGGTTTTGGCTGATTTTAAACAATTGGCTTGATATGTTTTTGGTTGAATTGAAACAATTGTGAAACTGTCTGAAGAGATAGTACGTTTGGAATTTGCTGGGGATTACCCGAGTTTTCATCATCACAATTTCAAGCAAAAAAGGACCCAATTCGTATTATATTACCAAAAGTAATAGCTGCTTTGAACCGGCTGAAAAGAGAAATAGTTAACCAGGAGAGTAGTGTTCTCATTTTGCGGATAGTTGGTGGGTCATTTACTTGTGTGTGGTTGGTTACAAATTGTTTGTAGTCTGTTCAAACAAAGAGTTGTCAGTTTAACAAAGAGCTAGGACGATGAAATTTGTGAATAAAAAGTGAAATGTGTACTTCGACAAGTTTATAATGAGGTTGAAAGTTGAGAGCCGGCTTGTGGGGTTTGGGCTGTGGATAGCAATGAGGTAAAAGTGTAGTTAATGCAAGTTTTTAAGCTACGGAAGCAATAGTTGAAATTCATAATACGATTGTGGAAGATGCAACATGGGTGCGCAAAAAAAAGTTGGACGTTCATATAAACATTGCAGAGTTAGACGCGGTGATACGAGGAATAAATATGGCTTTTACGAGGAAACTTTAAAAAAGGAAAGTTTTAACAGACTCCGCAATAGTATTTAACTGGATTTCTGACACACTTACTGGAAAATCAAGATTTTAATTCAAAGAGGAATAAACGTACTGCAAATACTAAGTGAAGAATACGATTTGAAAGTAGACGTAAATATTGTTCTATCAAGATATAACTTAGCTGATGCATTAAGAAGAGTTAAATAGGTTGACTAGTAAAATATTGTATTGGAGTAGTAGTTGCAGACCTTGAATCTATCTTGAGTATACACAAGTAAGCTAGAAATTTTGGAGTGAGTAGAACATTTAACTTTTTACGTAAAGTACGTCTAAATCCAAAAAAAAACGAAATTCAAATGACATTAGAAAATTGATAGCTGTGTCAGTCAATAGATCCAGCACCTCTACAGTGGACTAAAGGTACCTTGAAAAATTTAGTATAATTGATTGTGGACCTCAAAGATACGCTTTGTGGCGAAAACTTCTAAGTTCATACAAAAATGTTTCCTTAGTTCAAATTCTACGTCTCCGAAAGACGGAGAATTTGAACTAAGTGTCATCCGAAATATTACCAGATAATAAGGCATAGTTTAAGACTGAAAAAAATAAGAAGTTTCCTTGACAGTTGTGCAGTGCGTATCACGTTTTAGGCTGCATATCATCTTGAGGGAACCGAGTTGTGGAAAAAAAACCATAGTACAATAAAAAGAACAGCGGAACGGTCTAAAATATCAATACCGGAAGCAATAAATTGGTACAACGTTTCTGTCAACAAAAACGACTTATAACCGATAAAGAAAATATATAGTTATGAAATTGGTATTAAAGGAAAAAAGAAATCATCTCGCGAAAAATGACACAAACAAAATATTTAGAGCAGGTAAGAAAATTGGGTTGAAACCACCTTATGTAAAGTGTCATACCAAGTGGAAGCCAGCGACAGTAACAAAAGACGTGTCAAAACATGTTGTTAAAGTGAATGGGGTTCTAATGTGAAATTCAGCACTTGTGTCTCATTCCGGACGTGAGAAGAGATATGGGCGGTACTTGCAAAGAGGTTGTTGAAAACATTGAGCACCAAGTTGAAGGAATTACTAACACGAACAATGTGGATAATAAAGTCAAGAATAGTACCCAGGAAATAGGCATGCCTTTGCAAAGAAATGCTAAAGATTAATGCATGCCAAAAAATTATTGATTACTGTTTACATGACCCTTAGGGGTCAAGGAGGAGTGTAATTAGTAGTTTACACTGTTATCACGATTTGTATATATATATATATTTGTAAAGTAATTTTAACAGTTTATTGTATTGTAAAACGACTAACTTTGTAAGCTGAAAAAAAGCACAAAAAAAAAAAAAAAAAAAAGAAATACAAGTTGTTATACATTGCTTGTGAAAAGTCATTTTAAGAAGTTTATTGTTACAGTGTTCCATGATATCAAATAGTTTTTAAACAAAGTACGTATATATTTGATAATTGTTGTTAACATATTTGAACAGTTATGTATGTAATTGCTATTGTGTTTACATGGTTTATATGAAATTGTAATTATGTTTATATTGGTTGTAACTGTAATATTTGAGGTATATGATTTAGTATAAATTATGATTTTATTTTTGTAAGAGACAAGCTCTCATTAAGTAAAGGAAAGAAAACATCTTAACCTAAGGATATATATATATATATTATATATATATATATATATATATATATATATATATATATATATATATATATATATATATATATATACATATATATATATACATATATATATATATATATATATATATATATATATATATATATAATATATATATATATATATATATATATATATATATATATATATATATATATATATATATATATATAATATATATATATATATATATATATATATATATATATAATATATATATATATATATATATATATATATATATATATATATATAGTAAAGTTTTTTATTTTTAAATTTAAATTTAAAAAATTTTTAAATTTTTTTTATTTATAACAAAAATTTATAAGGGATTCCCCATAAATTATGCAACGCAAAATATATTTAAAAAGCAGAAGTAAGAAATATTAGGCTCTTTTACCTGACGATTTTTATTAAGCTTAATGGGTCTGTTTGGTTTTTTAATTAAATTAAGACACTGCAAAGGAAACCTTTTGATATTTTTTGTTTTGTTTATTTGTGAAAGTTTGCGTTACGTAATTTATATATGGTCCCTAACGCCATGTTCTGAATAAAATTGAGACCAAAGGTAAAAGCGAGATTTTTCTATGACGTAATCTAGGGAAGCAATAATCTAGCTTGAAAATAATAACGCTAACATTTTTATAAAAACTTGATATTTTGACTTTAGTAAAGTTTTTACAAATACTCCTATGTGCGTCGTAACAAAAAAACGTATCAAAGAGTATATTTTTTGTTATTTTTCTTCATGAAACAGCTGCATTTAAAACTTTAGGCAGCTATAAAGTAGTGCTTTAAGCGCTAGCTTGAATCAAAATGTGCAAAGTTTTATGCCCTTTTTTTAATTTTAAAAAAAGTAAAAAAACATTTTTGTGAAATATTTCCAAGAATTGGCTAAAGTTTCTTTTCAGAGTTTAGGCTTAAAGCACACCAATGGCTATTGTGCAGGGTTTCTGTTGCTGAAGTGGAAGTTAATATAAACAAATTAACAAGCAAATAATATTTTTGACAAAAGTGTATTAAATAATTTTTTTTTCATATACTATTTAGATTTTAAGCTTGTTTTTTTGATAATTGAAACACTACTTTACTAAAACAAAAGCTTTATTTTTTTTTTTCGTGTTTTTAAAAATTTGTTTAAAAAAACAATACTATTTTCCAAACTTTTTTTTTTTAATCTATATTTATTATTACTATTTTTCAG